GCCCGCGCCCCCCGCTTGGCGGGGGGGGGGGGGAGCCACACACACACCTGTGCACTGGGCCTCCCCCTCCCCTCTGTACGGTGCCCCCCCTTGCTCCCCCCGCCCGTCCTCTCCCGGGAGCTGGGCTTTGGTCTGGGACCTGACTCACTGCTTCCCTCTTTGTGTCTTGCAGATTACAGCCAGCCGGCCACCCAGAGGTAACCCTCCCCCGCCCGTGCGCGGCGCTGGCCGTCTGGGCTCTGCAAAAAGAAGACAACGCTGGCACCATGGGGAGGGGGGGGCTGATCCCAGGAGTCTTTCCTTCATCACTCTTCTATTAGTGCCTTAGATCAGTGGGCTCTTCCAGCCCACATTCCTGCCTTGGATTAGACCTGTGGGCCCATCTAGTCTGTTATCCCTCCTTGCTCCTAGAGACCTGGATCACATCAGTGCACCTATCTAGCCCAGCATCCTGTTTCCCAATAGCGGCCAGCATTCTCTGCTTTATAGAAACATCCAAATAAAACAACAGCAGGGAGTTAAATAATGACGTGATTCTAAAGGAAACTTCCTCCTAAACACCCTTGATTTCTAAGCTCTTTTGGGCAGGGACTCTGCCTCTATTTAGCACAATGCTCTTATCTGCCTATTGCCCTGTAATGCAACTGACACACTTGTTAGTCCATGCTGTTAAATCCATTGACTCGTTGCTTCCCTGGAGCAGTGCTAATGGTGTTCAGGGCTTCTGATACAATGTGGGTTATTCCCTCAAATCCCCCTCAACCCAAATTGCATGATACATGGTGTCACCATGTCATGGTAATTTTCAAATTAGTTTGCTTATGTGTGTGGGACTTCTGAAAAAAAATGTTTCTAAACTGCTGCAGCCTTAACTATGGAGTCACTGCTGGCCTCTGGAATACCTAACCTGTCTGATCCTCATTTAGCTATGGGGCTTACCCAGCACCACCAGGACAGGGATACTCTCAGCAAACGAGTCAGCCCTACAGCCAGCAGAGCTACAGCGGTTACGGCCAGTCTGCAGACACCTCAGCATATGGACAGAACAGTTACAGTTCTTCTTACGGCCAGAATCAAAGCAGTAAGTGTCACTCTCTTGGTCCAGCTAAAGTGAAGCTGTTTTTCACTGCCAGCAAGTCTCATCAGCACCATCCAAAAGTTACTTGAGTGACGTCAGAGTATTTTCCTATCGGTTCTCTCCAGATGGCCAATTCCATCAAAGGATCCATTAATTGGTGTGGCTATATTGCTGATTCAGTCCCTACTGCATCAAGTGTTTAAAAACCCAATAACACTCTTCAGCCCTTCTGAATAATACAAAATCCCTATCACCTTTCATTTTTGGGTGAGAGTGAATCTGCATCATCTAGTTCTAGCCTATATATGGGCTAGGGATTGCATAAAATTTGCTTCCCTACTTGGTATCCTCCCCCAAGGTTTGCATTGTGTATCTAACTAGTTTCTGTATATCATCCCCAGAGGTGCCTGCAATTTAGGGCCGATGGGAGGGAAGTTTAGTATGATACATCTTACCAAGTGCCTTGAAACTATAGACATGTGGCAGAACTGAGGTTAGAATTTGTCTCCTGAGTTACTTTTATTCTTTACTAAGTAACACGGCCTTTCCAAAGGAGCTGTGGAGACATAAGCTGGTGCCTCTCTTCTATACTTCAGTTGCACTGAATCAGCTTGAGGTATAGAAGGGATTCATTGGGTCTGTTTAGCCTGGCCATGTTTTAAGAATGGATTGGGTTTTTTACCAGCTGGCTACAGCACTCAGTCAACACCTCCAGCTTATGGAACAACTGGATATGGCAGCAGTCAGACCTCTCAGACCTCTTACGGACAACCCTCATCGTATCCTAGCTATTCCCAGCCACCAGCAGCCAGCTCAACAACGGGAAGGTATGGCTAAACATTTCCCTTCTGAGCCCCTGTCTATATTCATTTTACAAATGGTGAGGGAAGGGGGCTTGCTCAGGCTCGCGGATTGAGTCAATGGCAGAGCAGTGTATGGAACCCAGGAGTTCCAACTCCCATCCCTGCTCCAACCTGCTAGACTCCTCCTTTTCTAAAGCTGAGGCTAGAACCCAAGGCTACGTCTACACTACAGGCTTTTTGCGCAAGAACAGCCATTCTTGCGCAAAAACTTAGAGCGTCTACACTACACGCGTATTCTTGCGCAAGAAGATTTATAGTAAAATGTTGGAAAACAGGGTTTCTTGTGCAAGAATTTTTCCTTTCCCCATGAAAAATAAGCCCTCTTGCACAAGAATCCCCTATGGCTAAAATGGTCATCAGAGCTTTCTTGTGCAAGAGAGCGTCCACATTGCTGTGGACGCTCCTGCGCAAAAGCACATCTCTTCCGCAAAAGCACGTGGCAGTGTGGACATGCTGTTGTGGAAGACCTTTTGCACAAGAACTCTTGCGTAAAATCGTTCTTGGGTAAGAAGCCTGCAGTGTAGACATAGCTTAAGAGTCAATCTGGTGCTCTTGCTGCTAAACCATGGGTGGGGAACTCATGCTCCCTGCATAATTTTCTGCATGCTGTCTTCAGTGGCCAGTGCTGCACCCCCACAGCTCCCATTGGCCAGGAACCACAGCCAATGGGAGCTTGGAGGTGGTGCCTGAAGGTGAGTGAAGCCAGCATCCTCAACCCCCTCCTATACCCTAGCCTTGAGCCCACTCCTGCAGTCCATAGCCATTGGCCTCAGCCCAGAGCCCCTCCCACACTCAATGTCTTATTCCCAGTTGCACCCCCAGTCAGAGCACACACTCCCTCCTGCATGCCAGCCTGGCCCCACACCAGAGCGTAGGGGAAGCTCTGAGCCTCCATTCATTCACCCCCCAGGCTGTGTGGCCAGTGCCTGATTTCTCTCCCCTCCCCTCCCCCCCAGGAGTCAGTGGTCTCCAAGTTCCCCCTCCCTGCACTAGACCATACTATTTCAATGATCACTGTCCTACAAACCAAATCCCTGGAGAATTGAAAAGAGCTTTGGCATGTATTTAAAGGACAATGGCCTTTTTAATCCATAGCTATGGAAGCAGCTCCCAAAGCACAAGCTATGGCCAGCCCCCAAGTAGCGGCTATGGCCAGCAATCCAGCTACAGTAGCCAGCAACCAAGCTCCTATGGGCAGCAGCCATCTTACAACCCTCCACAAAGCTACGGGCAGCAGAGCCAGTACAGTAGCGGCAGTAGCAGCAGCGGAGGAGGTGGAGGCAACAGTGGATGTGAGTTGATCTTAATTGTACTGGGGGGGATTGTGATGTGGGGGAATCCAAACTTGTGCAACCAGATGGTGAACAGTAGTCACTACAGCTCTCAAAAGTGGGCTGTTTCTTTACCTGGGTTTGACCTTTTAAGGGCCATTCATGCAGCTTTCACCCTCTGTTTATCCCTTAACCAGCCAGGAGGCTGGGATATTGAGAGATTGCTTCAAGGTTGTACAATCTGTTACCTTGGTGACAGTCCTGGAAATCCAACTCAGGGATATGAACTTCCAGTACATCTCTAAATCACTAGACACATACACATCCCATGCAGAGCTTGGAATAAACCCAGGAGTTCTGATTCCAGTTCCACTGCTTTGGCCATTCACTTAACTTTGACACATGTTATTCTACTCTCCAGCCAGCAGCTACGGCCAGGACCAGTCGTCCATGAGCGGCAGTAGTGGCGGTGGCGGCGGTGGTGGCTACGGTAGCCAGGATCAGAGCAGCTATGGAGGTGGCCAGCAAGACCGTGGTGGCAGGGGCAGGGGAGGATATGGCCGGGGCGGCTTTGACCGTGGTGGAAGAGGCGGCCGTGGTGGTCGTGGAGGCATGGGGTAAGTGTCTAGACACTTGTGGTGGGAGAGGGAGTGGGTTTAATGTCACTGTCTTCATCATTATGTGAAGTGTACATGTTGGGGAGGGTGTTGTGTAGAAGCTCTGTCTGTGTGCATGGGTGGATTGCCATATCCTTGTACTGTGTGTGGTAAGGGAGCTGCAATGTTTTACATGGGGAGGAGACTGAATGGCAAGTGCTTTTCTTGTGCGAGTGGGGAAGACTCCCACTGTCTAATTTAAGAACCGCTGTAGGTTCATATCTACATTGGAGAATTTATGCATGGGGGTAAAGTACCCCGCTGGTGGTTACTATTGAAGTTATATGTCTGACCTCAAATGTCTTACCATGTTGAATGCACAACGTGAATTCCAAGCGTTTCTGATGGTACATGTTACCCTGTCTAGGTATCTACTGAAGGTTTATAAATACCGCTTTTCGAAGGGCATATAAATCTACATCATGGGATTATTTGCAATTTATCTGGTGCTATAATTTGTTCACCAAAGCACCTGGGTCATGCTGGTAAGAAAAGAGGGCTGTAAGTCTCTCACTGAGAGAAGATGTCTTCCCAACCTGGTTGCTTTCAACCTGTGTAACATACTTGGTTAACTCTGTGGTCCATCCACACTGGATACATTCCATGGGTTAAAAGAAGTGTTTGGGCATTCATTTAGCAGCTTCAGCAGCTGTGCTTGCATTTTATATAGGACTTTCTTTTGGTTTATCTCATGACACACAGAAAAGCAGTGTCTTAAACTGCCTTGGTGTAACAATCCTCACTCAGCAGAGGTTTGCTTGGTGATTTATTAAAAATAAACTGTTAGGTTGAGAAACATGCTAAATAATGCTGATTGTGAACTCTGATCAGGAGAAATATTGAGTTTAAATTGTTTTTTAGAAAGGTAAGTATTAGGTTGGGGGGAATCAAAGTATTGTTACTTGTTGTCTGCTGTTAACACTACATGTTATCTGTTAACAAACTCTGCATTTTATGTGCTACAGGTATGAAAGTCAATGAACTTTATCAATTCTCCACCTTCCACATGTTAGTTAAGGGTGAGGAAGGGAGAGAGCTTATGTCAGATCCAGGCTTAGCAGTCAATTAGTTTATTGTGCTATGTTAGAGAACTTGGGTTGGATTTTTTTATATGCTTTCAAAGCAAATATACTACGTACCTACATTTAGGTGGTATCAACACTGGGGGAATACAATATATTGGTACAGTGTGATATACGGTTCATGGATCGGTACCTACGCTAGGACTGCATCGAGGACTCAGCGTTATCTCAAGTGTACATCACGACGGCTGAAGTGATTAGGAGAAGGTTAGAAGCCAAAGTTGCACTTGTATTAGATTTATCCATTCAATTTTTGCAAGACAAAAGGATGTATTTTAAAAATAAAAAGCCTATACATGGTGAGGGACAGAACAAGGTTGAAAGGAATGTTCTTTAGGTATTCAGGAAGAACTGGAAAAAAAAATTGTTGGTCAGGATTTTAAGATCTGGTAGTTTTAGTGAACCTTTTAGCCATGGAAAAAGCTTCATTATCTTCTAACTTATCTCCTCAGCGGTGGTGAGCGTGGTGGCTTCAATAAGTTTGGTGGTAAGTCCAAAGAGTTCAAAACTTGAACCAAAAAAGTATATATTTTTTCCAGAGACTTGTCTTTCATATGCAGAATCTTTATGCATTAGGAAAAGCCACCATTTATCAGATATAACCTATGGGAGCACCCTCTGCAGCCCTATACCAAATGAGTTCTTTAGATACATATGGTGTCATTTATTTCTGTATTCACTGGGCTTCTGCTTTGACCAAAGTTCTTGGTGCCAATACATCTTGGTTGAATGTTTTGCAACAAGACACACACAAAAAGTGTGCTTTGGGGAAAGAAAACAAAAGTGCTATTTCCTAGAAGTGTCTGGTTTGTGTGTGGTTCCTTTTTAAAAAACAAAACACACAAGAAGCTTTAAGTGCTGGTGATTTTTGGAGTTAAAACATGGTAACAATTGCATGCAATCCTGAGGATAACAATGCAAAGAGTTTGTGCACTTTTTTATGGTTACTGGTAAAGAAAATGGGGGAAGTCCCCAAAAACTGGAATGAAATTTTGGTCTTGCGTAAACGTCCCTTTGACTACATTACATGGTTTTGTAAGCTTACACTTTTAAGAAAGATGGTTTATATTTAAGCTTATATCTTAAGATGAAAAAAGGTATTTTTGCACTCAAATATACCAAACAAAATATCTAAACACTTCCAGGAGAGTTCCCATGGGTTTGCTGAAAAGGGTTTGGCATGAATGATCTCTTGACCAGGTCAATTTAATTTTAAGAGACCAGTGTTGGGCATATGCTTTTAGGTTCCTTGAGATAATTAATAATCTGATCTGGGTGTGATTAATGGTATAATGGATGAAATGTCTAAATATAGCAGAAATACTAATACATCAATGGTATGTATAGGTAAATAATGGTTTAAGTGAAGCAAAGCTATATTTATGCAAGGTTAGCTCACTGCTAAATGTGGCATGGGCTAATGCCACTATATCTCTGCATAAATCTTAGAGCTGTTAAGAGTGTGTTTATATACTGTGATCACTAACCAGGGTAGCAAGTGGTATGATGCTACAACCTGTTACTGAAGGATGTGAATGACAAAGATGTATATAAACCTGTGGACAAATCTCTTTGGGTAGCAGCTCCTTAAATTGTATACACAAAGGTCTCAATTTAAACAGACCTCTGAAGGTGATGCTAAGCAGGACTAAATGTGTGTTATGAGGGCTTTTGTAGTTGACCCTCTACATAGTGTTGGAAAGAGGCTTTTTCTGTGTACAGTATGACATCTGAAAACGGAGTTGTCACTGGTTTTGCAGTACTGTCTTCAAAGTATCTTAAGTTCTTTGACTTCATAGTAATTTTGCCTATGGCTAAAGTAAACGTAGGTTCAACCATCAGAGCACATGTACCAACACTGGCCTGCTGTCTTTAAAACGTTTAGTGTGTGTGGGAGAGGAGATTGTCCCCATCGACTAACTAGATCTCTCCTTATTTTCATGTGCAAAAGGGCCCCGGGACCAAGGACCACGCCATGACTCTGGTACGTGACTTTGTTCCCAAATAGGTTACCTCTGTGTGGAGGGGAGGGGGTTTGCTAAAAGATCTGAAGTTGATCTGAGGTAGCCCCCTAAGACATAAGCACTGTACTATTTCACAAGAAAGCTACTTAGAGCAGCCTGTCAAGAGTCGGCATGACATTGTGTAGCCCTAGTGCCCCCTAAGGCTTGTTAGACCCTGATAAGCAGCTCTTCCTGGAGCATTGGCAGTGTGGTATGACTGACTCTCTTACTTTGCAGCTTCTGAACAGGATAACTCTGACAACAACACCATTTTCGTCCAGGGACTCGGTGAAAATGTCACCATTGAGTCAGTCGCTGACTACTTCAAGCAAATAGGGATCATTAAGGTACCAGCATAGAGAACTCCATTCTGGAATTGCAAAAACAGTTATGGCTAATAAAGCACGTTCCTTGTCACCCTGTGCCCCCTGCCCTTAACGTACAATCCAAGCACACTTAACTGTGGAGAGCGTTTGGCCTGTAAGGCAGTCACTGTTGTGACCGTCTTGCAATCCTGATTATTTTGAGATCCTTCCATGCCTAGTTCTCAAATACTCTCTAGCCTAAACCAATAGAATATTTGTTTACATTTCACAACCCACCCTGTAAGGCTAATCTCTAGAACGGGTGGGTAAAAGGGCTTCCGAGGGCCAAAGTCCAGCCGCCAAGTAGGTTGATCTTGCCCGTGGAGGCCCTGCCACTCCCCTGCCGCGAGGCCAATCAGGGCCTGAGGGTGGAGAGGGGAGTGTGAAGCCTCTTCCCACTCTGCCAGGGGCATGGGTGCCCACGAGGAAGGGGGACACAGGGGCTCACCCACCCCCAGATCAACTGTCTTTTTGAAGTAGCTCCTGGCTAAAAATTATTGCCCCACCCCAGCTCTAGAAGCTAAACTCTCATGTGCTTATTGTTTGTGTTCCAGACAAATAAGAAAACTGGACAACCCATGATTAACTTGTACACAGACCGTGAAACTGGGAAGCTAAAGGGGGAAGCCACTGTGTCATTCGACGATCCTCCGTCTGCCAAGGCAGCCATTGATTGGTTTGATGGTAAGAGGCAGTATAATTGGTGGAGTTGGAAGCCCAGACTCCTGGGTTTTGTCCTTGGTTCTGGGGTGGGTGTGGGACCTACTGGGGAGGAAGAGTAAATTCTAGCAGTGATCTGTTCTTCAGTCACTTCCTTTCTGGACCTTTTTTCTCTTTGTGAAATGGAGGTCCTACGTCAGCGTCAGGTGCTGCAATCATTCAGATTGTGGGCAGGGCTTCACTTGAGCAGGATTCATTCTCTGTTGGAAGTGGGGAGTGAATTTTAGTAGTAGCTATTCCAGAATAGCTCCATGTGTGGACAAGCCGCTAACTATAGTGCTGTAACTTGATCCAGAGACCGGGGGGTTAAAGTGCAGCTGGTCAGGATTCCTGTCATGTTCTTACAGTTGAAAATAAATTATTTGTAGTAAGGTTTTCTTTTTTCTCCCCTCCCCTTCCCTCCCTCCCCC